GCCACACTGAAATTAATTTTTGGGAGTTACGCCCATTCGGAAATTGTTGGGGTTCAAAGTTGCTGCTAAGGAAAAAAATATGTATACACCCTACATTCTTTCGGTAAGGCTCGCCAGCGCTGTACGGTAAAGTTCGCCACCGGACATGGCTCAAATGAAAGGTAATAACTTGGGGAAGGCCACACTGAAATAAATTTTGGGGAGTTAGGCCCATTCGGAAATTGTTGGGGTTCAAAGTTGCTGCTAAGGAAAAAAATATGTATACACCCTACATTCTTTCGGTAAGCCTCGCCAGCGCGGTACGGTAAAGTTCGCCACCGGACATGGCTCAAATGAAAGGTCATAACTTGGGGAAGGCCACACTGAAATGAATATTTGGGAGTTAGGCCCATTTGGAAATAGTTGGGGTTCAAAGTTGCTGCTAAGGAAAAAAATATGTATACACCCTACGTTCTTTCGGTAAGCCTCGCCAGCGCTGTACGGTAAAGTTCGCCACCGGACATGGCTCAAATGAAAGGTAATAACTTGGGGAAGGCCACACTGAAATGAATTTTTGGGAGTTAGGCCCATTCGGAAACTGTTGGGGTTCAAAGTTGCTGCTAAGGAAAAAAATATGTATACACCCTACATTCTTTCGGTAAGCCTCGCCAGCGCTGTACGGTAAAGTTCGCCGCCCGACATGGCTCAAATGAAAGGTAATAACTTGGGGAAGGCCACACTGAAATGAATTTTTGGGAGTTAGGCCCATTCGGAAATTGTTGGAATTCAAAGTTGCTGCTAAGGAAAAAAATATGTATACACCCTACATTCATTCGGTAAGCCTCGCCAGCGCTGTACGGTAAAGTTTGCCACTGGACATGGCTCAAATGAAAGGTAATAACTTGGGGAAGGCCACACTGAAATGAATTTTTGGGAGTCAGGCCCATTCGGAAATTGTTTGGGTTCAAAGTTTCTGCTAAGGAAAAAAATATGTATACACCCTACATTCTTTCGGTAAGCCTCGCCAGCGCTGTACGGTAAAATTCGCCACCGGACATGGCTCAAATGAAAGGTAATAACTTGGGGAAGGCCACACTAAAATGAATTTTTGGGAGTTAGGCCAATTCGGAAATTGTTGGGGTTCAAAGTTGCTGCTAAGGAAACAAATATGTATACACCCTACATTCTTTCGGTAAGCCTCGCCAGCGCTGTACGGTAAAGTTCGCCACCGGACATGGCTCAAATGAAAGGTAATAACTTGGGGAAGGCCACACTGAAATGAATTTTTGGGAGATAGGCCCATTCGGAAATTGTTGGGGTTCAAAGTTGCTGCTAAGGAAAAAAATATGTATACACCCTACATTCTTTCGGTAAGCCTCGCCAGCGCTGTACGGTAAAGTTCGCCGCCAGACATTGCTCAAATGAAAGGTAATAACTTGGGGAAGGCCACACTGAAATTAATTTTTGGGAGTTAGGCCCATTCGGAAATTGTTGGGGTTCAAAGTTGCTGCTAAGGAAAAAAATATGTATACACCCTACATTCTTTCGGTAAGCCTCGCCAGCGCTGTACGGTAAAGTTCGCAACCGGACATGGCTCAAATGAAAGGTAATAACTTGGGGAAGGCCACACTGAAATGTATTTTTGGGAGTTAGGCCCATTCGGAAATTGTTGGGGTTCAAAGTTGCTGCTAAGGAAAAAAATATGTATACACCCTACATTCTTTCGGTAAGCCTCGCCAGCGCTGTACGGTAAAGTTCGCCACCGGACATGGCTCAAATGAAAGGTAATAACTTGGGGAAGGCCACACTGAAATAAATTTCGGGGAGTTAGGCCCATTCGGAAATTGTTGGGGTTCAAAGTTGCTGCTTAGGAAAAAAATATGTATACACCCTACATTCTTTCGGTAAGCCTCGCCAGCGCGGTACGGTAAAGTTCGCCACCGGACATGGCTCAAATGAAAGGTCATAACTTGGGGAAGGCCACACTGAAATGAATATTTGGGAGTTAGGCCCATTTGGAAATAGTTGGGGTTCAAAGTTGCTGCTAAGGAAAAAAATATGTATACACCCTACGTTCTTTCGGTAAGCCTCGCCAGCGCTGTACGGTAAAGTTCGCCACCGGACATGGCTCAAATGAAAGGTAATAACATGGGGAAGGCCACACTGAAATGAATTTTTGGGAGTTAGGCCCATTCGGAAATTGTTGGAATTCAAAGTTGCTGCTAAGGAAAAAAATATGTATACACCCTACATTCTTTCGGTAAGCCTCGCCAGCGCTGTACGGTAAAGTTTGCCACTGGACATGGCTCAAATGAAAGGTAATAACTTGGGGAAGGCCACACTGAAATTAATTTTTGGGAGTCAGGCCCATTCGGAAATTGTTTGGGTTCAAAGTTTCTGCTAAGGAAAAAAATATGTATACACCCTACATTCTTTCGGTAAGCCTCGCCAGCGCTGTACGGTAAAATTCGCCACCGGACACGGCTCAAATGAAAGGTAATAACTTGGGGAAGGCCACACTAAAATGAATTTTTGGGAGTTAGGCCCATTCGGAAACTGTTGGGGTTCAAAGTTGCTGCTAAGGAAAAAAATATGTATACACCCTACATTCTTTCGGTAAGCCTCGCCAGCGCTGTACGGTAAAGTTCGCCGCCGGACATGGCTCAAATGAAAGGTAATAACTTGGGGAAGGCCACACTGAAATACATTTTTGGGAATTAGGCCCATTCGGAAATTGTTTGGGTTCAAAGTTTCTGCTAAGGAAAAAAATATGTATACACCCTACATTCTTTCGGTAAGCCTCGCCAGCGCTGTACGGTAAAGTTCGCCACCGGACATGGCTCAAATGAAAGGTAATAACTTGGGGAAGGCCACACTGAAATACATTTTTGGGAGTAAGGCCCATTCGGAAATTGTTGGGGTTCAAAGTTGCTGCTAAGGAAAATATTATGTATACACCCTACATTCTTTCGGTAAGCCTCGCCAGCGCTGTACGGTAAAATTCGCCACCGGACATGACTCAAATGAAAGGTAATAACTTGGGGAAGGCCACACTGAAATGAATATTTGGGAGTTAGGCCCATTTGGAAATTGTTGGGGTTCAAAGTTGCTGCTAAGGAAAAAAATATGTATACACCCTACATTCTTTCGGTAAGCCTCGCCAGCGCTGTACGGTAAAGTTCGCCGCCGGACATGGCTCAAATGAAAGGTAATAACTGGGGGAAGGCCACACTGAAATAAATTTTTGGGAGTTAGGCCCATTCGGAAATTGTTGGGGTTCAAAGTTGCTGCTAAGGAAAAAAATATGTATACACCCTACATTCTTTCGGTAAGCCTCGCCAGCGCTGGACGGTAAAGTTCGCCACCGGACATGGCTCAAATGAAAGGTAATAACTTGGGGAAGGCCACACTGAAATGAATTTTTGGGAGTTAGGCCCAATCGGAAATTGTTGGGGTTCAAAGTTGCTGCTAAGGAAAAAATTATGTATACACCCTACATTCTTTCGGTAAGCCTCGCCAGCGCTGTACGGTAAAGTTCGCCACCGGACATGGCTCAAATGAAAGGTAATAACTTGGGGAAGGCCACATTGAAATGAATTTTTTGGAGTTAGGCCCATTTGGAAATTGTTGGGGTTCAAAGTTGCTGCTAAGGAAAAAAATATGTATACACCCTACATTCTTTCGGTAAGCCTCGCCAGCGCTGTACGGTAAAGTTCGCCACCGGACATGGCTCAAAGAAAAGGTATTAACTTGGGGAAGGCCACACTGAAATGAATTTTTGGGAGTTAGGCCCATTCGGAAATTGTTGGGGTTCAAAGTTGCTGCTAAGGAAAAAAATATGTATACATCCTACATTCTTTCGGTAAGCCTCGCCAGCGCTGTACGGTAAAGTTCGCCGCCGGACATGGCTCAAATGAAAGGTAATAACTTGGGAAAGGCCACACTGAAATGAATTTTTGGGAGTTAGGCCCATTCGGAAATTGTTGGGGTCAAAGTTGGTAGGTTTTTACTATACATTTTTTAGGACAGGTGGGGGCTTTCCATAAATATTTCTATTGATATTTTTTTAATGTTTCTAGCGTTTCTATTGTTTTAAGAAATATTGTATATAAAATACATCTTTAATGTTGTTTTATTGATAAAAACTATATTTTTACATAAAGACAATTATGCAACTTACATAAGGGATTATATTCGAGGACAACGAGAATTTACGACAGCTTGAAGGGGTCATAAAACGATTTCCTACGTATTTTTTTCACTCCTCTTAACTCTCAATTTTTTATGATTTTCAAATAAGTTTGAATATTGAACCGACTGCTCACAGCTAGTTGGATATAGAATATCGAACCGGCGGCTAACTGCACATATATTAGTTATGTAGAAACTAGATATTTCTATACACATTGACACCAATATGCCGGATCTAGAAATCAACCTAGTGAGTGCTTCTAGTTACTGACGTCATTTGTGTTGGTTTGTTCGACGTTCACTTCTAAGGCTGAACATCTGTGGTCATTAAGACGTTAAAAAATAATACATATATCGTAGCTAGAATTTCGAAAAAAAGTGGCTGCTATCATTATTGGTATTTAAAACGAAAAAATCCTTTGAGAATCACTACAAGCCGTGAAATTGTCGAAATCCGCTCTTAAATTACATTTAACTTAGATTTTGAGATTTTTAGAACGTTCGAGTCTGATATAGTTTTTGGGTTTTTAGACATATCATCAAAATTGGCTGCTGGAAAAAAGTGGCTGCTATCTTGATTGGCTGCTAAAAGTGGCTGCCAGCTTGAGTCTAGTCATCATTATAACTAGATGAAAAATAACCCCATTCAATGCAGAAAACCGACAGTGATGCAAGACAAAACATAATGAACATAACAAGGTGAAAAGGGTTATCAAATTCAATTCCAAAAAATTGCAAACAGCTAAATATGCGTAACATTATCTCCGTTTAAACGTTAATAAAAAAAATTTACGGCAAATTAGGTTAACTTCTTGGTATTAAAATTTTAGGTTATGGGTTCAACTTGAACAGATCTGATGCAAAAGCAACGTTCCAAAAACTTGTCCCAGAGGTTGATTTTGACAAGGTTAAGACGGGACAACAAAACATAACAAAGGAACAAGCTCGTAAGCTATTTAATGTAAGTATAATCATAAGTCACCAGTCTGAACTAATTTTTTGTTGATGAGGTAGCCTAATGATAATGCTTTTGGACTTAATGATAGAAATTTAGATTACCTGAACCTATATTTTTACGGCAGAAACAGGCAGATAATTTTGAAACTAAAACATTTGTAAAGAAAATTTATTATTATTTCAAACAAAACGATTGGATGGAGTACTATTTCAGTGGAAACAAGACATTTCTAGTTCCGTGCACGAATAAAACATAGTATATCCGATTTGAAATGCAATACATGAAATTAAAAAATGCGTATGATAATCAATTTAGATTATGTTTGAATCTGGAGTCACATTTGAAAATGTTTTATATCTCTATAAACACGTCAGTCAAGTAATGTTTAAATATATTTCCAGTCAGAATAATCTCACTCAAAATGTTAATTCTAAATGAAATTGATTTTATTGACAAACTAATATACCTACGGAGGAGGATGTTCCTAACTAATTGGCTTACTTGGATAGAAATTTGCTTTCGACAAATAGCATTTCATTGGAGGGCAGTTTGAAATTGCTCTTAAGTAGGCTTATCCATCGAAGTCTATTTTTGGGACCATGTTCCCCAAGGTAAAAAAGCTTACGAAACAAGTAAGTCAATTAAATTTGATAATTAAGATGATTTTGTCTCTTTTATTATAATAAAGCATGACATAACCGAGCACGTGAATAGAGCCAAAACGAGACTTGGAGACAGCGTATATGATTCCTTACCAGCAAATGTCAAGTCTGCAGTCATAAGTGCAATATACAGAGGCGATCTTGGTCCAAAGACGGCGAATCTGATGAAAGCAGGAAAATGGAAAGATGTCGGTGTAGAATATTTGAATCATCAGCAATATAAGAATGCACAAGAACTCGGCATAATTGGAGTTAGAACAAGAATGAACTGGAATGCTGAACAATTCAATACTATGATTAAAGAATGAATGAGAGTACAGAACGAGCGTTATCTGTTACATTTATAACTAAAAAGAAATCGAACCATTTGATCTAAGAAATAAATAATAAATAAACTTGTATATATTCCTTTTATTATGGGTAGCAAAAATATAAATAAAATATTTATAGATTTATGCTTTACTTTATTTTCAGTCATAAAATAGATAATACAAAGCTAATTTAATACAAATTTGGAACACTACTTTGAGTTCTGTTGACCACTATTTTTTTTCTTTAAAAACCAAAAACATATGACCTATAAAACTGGTTGGACATTTGAAGAACCTGCTGTTCCATACCCTGGTGTTTCTTTATTTCATAAATGTACAAAATGTAACTGTGTAACATGAAATAATGTCCTCCATGAAATTTTGAAACATTTCATATACAATCTTGTCCGCATACAATATTTCTTTGTGAAATAGTGTCCTTCTCCATTAAGTTTTGTCAACTGCTTTTGGACAATATTTCACTGTGATTCTCTGTCCATGATAGTATTTCACAATGAAAATATTGTCTTATCAAAGTATGACTTCCCTGAGAAATCATACGCCATGAAATTGTGAGAGTGTTTCTGGAATCTTCAAAATATTGTTCTTTAAAAGTATGTGTATAACAGTGAAATAGTACATCAAATATTTCTCATCTACTGTATAAAAGACTTAGATTTTTAACAGAAAATATTTTGTAAGGATTTTAAGTATCTTAATTGTATTATTTGCCATCCATGATCATGATGTGCAAAACTAATTTTCTGTTTATTATGTATCTATTTTTTTTTTAATTTTCAAGTATATAAAGTTGCTTATAATTTATATGAAAGTTCTTATTTGGTCTGAGCTATTCAAATAACAACGTAATGCTGTTAAAACATCAAAGTACACACATCAAACTGTTATACTGTAGAATTATACAAAATATTGAAAACCTTTTAACAATATCTCAGTTGTAAAATATTCAGTGGAAATTTGTCCTAAAAGTTTTAACGTTTCAAATTAATAGTAACACTTTGTATAGACTAGCAGATTTTTATTTGGGTCTTAAAAATGGTTTGGAAAGACTTTAATTCCATTTTATATTAAATAAATATTGGAAAATATAGATAATTCATTCAGTTTTCAAACGTCTTTAGAAAGTGCCTAAAAATCAATCTATCAACGTAAAGAAAGTATCACCTAGTAAACACCATCAACTGAAATAAATATTTTGATTTACCTATAGCTACAGTAATACATTGATAAAACGGGTAATTAAGCTCAATATTCAATAAATAAACCATTCAAATGTTTTATTACCATAACGCTTCTAAATAAATACGTCAAGCGATATTATCATAGGGTATGAAAGAGGGAAGTTAAGTGTGTATATTCCAACTGTGAATGTATTGATTCAATTCGAAACGAAATAGGCTGAAATACTTTTTTGAACGGGTTTTTGCTGCATTGCATTTCACAAGCAACATTATTAAAATTAAAATGGAATGGGTATACATATACGTTGCAATAGCATTCACAATTGCTTGTACCTTTTGTATTATATTTTATGTATAATAGTTGAACTGGTCTCAGCGTGAGCATTATCGTCATCATTTTCCATATAAGCTGTCTTCGTCTATTGAACTTTCCTTAACACTATAGCTATAATTTTTGACAATACATTAGAGAGAAACTGACTATTTTTAAAAGGTTATTAAAACATATCAGTTATTTCAGGCAATTAATTGTTACTGGATTGATTGTTTGTTCTTTAACGTCCAGTGTCAAATATTTTATGAATATAGAGGACGACACGGCAACAAATAAACAATTAATAAATATGAAGGTTCTGCAATTAGGTCGATCGGGATGAAGACGCGGGTAATTGTAAAAGGGAATTAGAAGGGAATGTTGGATAGGGCAGACAATTTGCTTTGTATCGGGCCACCCCAGACCCGACAGATAGTTGTTTCAAGGGTACAGAGAGCAGCATGGTAATCCCCCTACACGAGGCATTAGATTTAACGTCCCCATTCCGACTGGACGTGGCTGCGTATTTGTTTATCCTGCACAGCCAAACGGACTACCAACCTGTGCAAGGGTAAATACTTTAAAATCAGTTGGAAAGGGCTCATTGGCTAAAGCACAAAAAAAAAACACAAAAAAGACACAAGTACCTATCTTTTGGAACTGACAGTTACTGAAAGATATTTGAAAGCCCAATCATAAAAAATAGTAAACCATGTTTCCAAACTGAACAATCAATCAGTACACTTCCAAAAGAATCAGCGACCTGTGACGAAAGTCGCGGAAAGCGAAACATAGGGATTGCTTTTCCGGCGACGACGATGACGACGACGGCGTCAACAGTTGTTAAGTGTTCTGCTTTTAAAAGTTAGTTCGATAGGAACAGATTTACTACTTGTGATAGATCATTGATATTTTATATAAAGTTGCATTACTATCAGTACATATCAGTTTGTTGACTATTTCAAGGCCCTACCCCCTAGGTCATGGCACGGTGACTTTCAATTAATTGCCAATTTTCAATGTTAAGTTTTCTGCTTTAGTTAGTTTGATAGGAACTACTTACAATAGACAATTATATTTTCTATAAAGTTACATTACTGTCCGTACATCTTAGTTTGTTGACCATTTCAAAGCCCAACCCACTAGTTCATGGTCCAGTGACTTTGAATTAATTAGCTGTCCATCCGATTATCGTTTTCTGAATTTTATGCCGACAGGCGAGACATAGATTCAATATTTTATTAAAGTCTCACCACTTGTATAACATTATACATTCCAATATACATATAAAACATTGCGTATAACATAAAATATTGAAAAGCATATATAAAACATATAGTATATTAAAACTAACAGTAAAATATCATTAGCTTAAATACTAAAACATATACAAGCGCCATTCTATCAAGAATTATGAGAGACTATTAAATGATTAATTATATACAATATTTAACATATTTGACATATGTCTGTGTCAACAGTTTATTATTGTTTATACAGATACCCAATTAAATGATAATGGAATATATACAGTCGTAACTAATGACATGTGAAAGGTCGGACTAGTCAAGAATAAGCCGTTATAATAAAAGATTTTTAACTCTCGGATGAATAATTCCTGTTCAAACATCCCACATGTATGTGGAACTTTTGTGTGTCTTTTTGGTATTTTTTGTCCTTGGGTTGCTGTCTCATTGATGAATGCGTCTGCTCTGTATGTACTTTTATTATAAATTGTTCTGATAAAAATCGGCGTTTAACTTCAAAATGTGTTTTAGTTGGCAAACATTATAATATGAAATTAAGTTTTATAGTATTTTTTAATCGTACAATTTCAATCCATTAAGAAAAAAATATAGAATTTATCAGGTTGATTGTTTGTCCAAGCATAACAACACAGCTGCTGCAATTGACAACATTGCTCCTATTATAGCAAAGGCAAAAGCGAAATGGAGATTTTCTGTTATCACATCTACTGATTTACCAGCAAATAAACATACTCCAATCAGGATAAGTACAGCTGTAATAGTCTACACATATACATCATGAAAGTCGCATGGTTTACCTCAAGTACATATATAGCTGTGTGTTAAATGAAATGCGTACCTGTGCATATGTTTTGTTAAAATCTTGGAATAACGTTAACGTAACATTGTTATCGTTTTTCCCCCATTTTACGTCGATTATCTTTCATATCACATTAAAGTAACTGAAATGAGTTATGATTCAGATTGTGAATGCTGATCTGAAAAGAAAAAGAGCAAACATTTTTTTTAACAATGTTTGTTAAATTATTCACTATCAAAAATATCTAAGAGAGGTTTACGAGCAAATGATGTCTAATCCCAAATATTCCTGTAAAAGAAAGAAAGAAAAAAAGGCTTGTTAGGCATATCGAAGGTGAAAGCATATTACAAGCCAAAAATCTTTCATTTATTTCAGTCTGGTGGTCATTTTTGTACTAATAAATGGACTTGGGCACGATATTTAGTTTTTATGAGAGGTTGAAGAATTTTAAAGGAATGGCAGGGCAAATATGTAAATATATGAAAACTTCTGAAATATATTTCTTACTTTTTGTTAAAACTACCGCTGAATTGATGCGTAACATTATCTAAAATATAACACACACAAAAAACACTTTAATTTGTAGTTTATAGTTTGTATTTTATAGACTGATTAAGATATTTCAAAATGCTTTAATACTGTATAATCTATACAATATTTAAACAGTAATTTTTGCTTTCTTACCTCCAACAACCAAACATCCCACAACGACCCATTTCAAGACAGGCTTGTCTTTGACGACGAATAACTTCACAATAACTGTTACAAGGGCTGCCAGTAGACATAAAAACCCTAGAACCTCCATACCTTGAGCTGCCTCAACCCATGCTGTAATGTTTAGAAATACAACGTTGTTTACAACAAATTTAAAGTAGACGATAAAACAAAGTAGCTCTATATTTATTGACAACTCGTATCAAAGTTTGTGGATGATCTTGTTCACTTCAATCCAACTGGACTGCATAAGTTCTGGACTTCATATGGTCCTAGATCTTGTCGATACCTATATTTTTGCGTTGCACAATGTCATATTTTTCTCAGACTGCTTCTTGTATTTTCATACTAGACATCTTGATTACAATGCAATGAAATCTTACCCTTGTGGTCATTCATGCATTTTAACTTATTACACTGGAAAATTATGTACTATGAAACTTAGAAAGGAAATTCAAGCAACTTGGTTGGACTAGAAGTTGTAAATATGTGCAAATGGTCTCATGGCAATTATACCACGTCTCTTTATTTAAATTTTATATTGTTAAGGTTCTTTGTCCAAGGAAAATCCCCCTGGAAACAAACTTGTCAATTATCTTCGTGGTTCTGTATATTTGATACTTCTACTCTCTTTTTTAATATTTCTGTTCAATTAACTTATGTCATTCTGCAAAGGAAAATTTAAACATTCCGAACATTTCGTATATTTCCTAGTAAGTAGCCCACCATAGCGTGTCTGTGAATTATAGATAACTAGATAGTCCCTTTGGTTAATATACCGGTTTGATATCGATTACAGTTCGCACGAAAAGCCGTCACCAGATCATTAGGTTAGGATGCCAGATACATAAACCTTTTTGGGTGTAAAAACTGAGAAAAAAAACTCAACAGTCTCAGGAATCTGTTTAGTTTTTAGTACAAAATACATAATTCATAGACTGAAAATTGATGGTAAATAAGTATCAGTTAAATGATGGTATTTAGTATTTACTGACTTCTAGATGTATGACACTACCTACTACATTCAGGGCTGATTGTCGACAAGCATCTGTACCAAACGAATGTTCAATATAATATTCAATAATAGTTTTAGTTCTATCTTGTGTTATGAGCTCGATGTCGTTTTAGCATATACAACACATGCTGTTTAATCGTATTGAATTGGTATGAGTTTGGAAGGACTTTTTTCATATCTTGAAATATAAAAATTGTAATCAAAATGAGCACAATGTTTCTGAGTCAGCAGAATTAAGCACTTTGAGCTTGTTTTCAGTAAGTAAGGGCATTCTATGATACAGCTTTAAATGTACCTGTACGTGCTTTTATTTTCATTGCAATATATTCTTAAATAGAGTGAAATAAGCTGTCAATTGTTTCAATTCCAATTCCAATTGTACAACTATCCATTTAGCAGAACTGTAAATTCAAATAATCTTAAATCTAGAGAAAATAACATGAAATACATATTGAATTTTTTACACGCTCTTTAAGTATACAGCAGTGCGATCGTCCCCGTTGGGTTTTGAAGTAATGATACAGGTCGGTTGTACGATGTGTTATATGTATATTTTATTTTTCCTCACTGATTGAGATCAAATGGAGGATGCCAGAGTAAAAAAGTAGTGTTACCTTGTCTCATGTTAATGCGACTGTTTTTTTTTTAAGTATTTTTCTCATGTTATACCGAAGTGGTTTTTTCATGCTTAGTTTCATTTTAAGAATTTGGTGTTGATGATACGTTTATCCCATATCTTTTTAATTCACTTCAAAAACATATATTGAAATATAATGGTTTGAATTACCAATTCAGTGAATCCAACATTTTACTTACTTTCTGTATTGACATAAGTGTTACAGTTGGTTTCAGAAGATGACTGACAGTTAAGCCATATTCCTCCATAATAAGACGTTCCTGAAATCTTTACATAGTACCAATATGGGGCAGCAAAGCCAATCAAGTCGACAACAAATGCCACAATTGTCAAAATAAACGATACAAAAGCAAAAATAGGAATTCCAGCTATTTCCTTGGTTGACATTTTTTTACGTTACCAAAAATAAAAACAATTTTAGTCGAGATTACAATTTGATAATTTTCCGCTCGATATCTTCCAATCTTAAAAAAAAGTGAAGTGACACTTTAAAAGTCTGAAAAACTGTAGAATTGGTGATGTTGAAAAGCTCGTTTTATAGTTAGAACAAAATATTATTTTCTGTTGTTATTTACTCTCCATGTACATCATAATCCTTGTTTGATAATTAGATTTCACTGTTTATATATCAGCTTTCAAACTAATGTATTTATACATACATATACCATGATAGGTGCATGTTTTATTTAAAACAAAATGTAGCTATAGCAAATACTCTTTTTAATAATTTGAATAAACATAAAGAAATATTTCATAGATAATAATCAAAACAAATTTTGTCCGAGAACAATAAAATAAGTTTTTGGTTTTATTAAGGAGATTATTATTAACAGAGCTTTTAGTTCGTTTTTTGGGGGTTTTATGAGTTGTTTTACCAAAATAGATTTGTTTAAGATATTTTCATCATAATTTTGTTCCATTTCTTTCCAGACCAAACTGACTGGTCCCAAAACTGGTCATCTTCTATCGTCATAAAGATAAAATCACCTTTAATATGAATTTTAATGAACAGATGTTATACATAAAAAAAATATTCGAAATTTTCCTTGTATTCGGTTTTTCCGAATTTCAGAAATCTTTGTTCTACGTCACAAACTCTCTCCCTCTTCCTCTCATTTCGAACGTTTAGGACACATGTAGGGACCTACTTGCGAGTATTTTTGGAATTCCGACTTATACTGTTTTTATGGCAATGTCATTTAATAGTTTTCCTCTTTGAATATTTTTGTTTACCTAAAATAAATTTTCGACAAAAAATATAATTATAACATTTCTTATATATTAAAATCTTTGAATTCAAATGTTTTTTGTCGATTACAATTTTGAGTTTTTTAACACTCTTTGAGGCTCATACCCCAGCCTGTTCTTTGTATAGCATAAAAGATAAACAGCTCTTTAAAGCACAAGAGGACAAATAAAAAGAAAGAAACTATTGCATTCTCTTTTGCAGATATGAGCAGGACTGAATAAATGCAAGGAATATCGGTTTTACAGGTTCCGCCCCTTGGTGATAGTTGAGTATAGATAACCTATTCGGTTATTAAATGAATATGAATTACTGTTCAAATAAAGACAGCTTAGTCTTTTTTTTTATATATATTCTATTATATCACGTTCTTCGATTTTCTGCAATCGTCACTATATGAATGTGGGATTACTTGTAAAAATATATCCACTACTCCTCTAGCATCGATTACATTGATGATTGGTGCTGTGTTAAGCCAAATAGTTATCACCGAAAGCTATATCATTCACGAACTGAACAAATCAGGACCATCAGCCACACTTTAGAATACAAGTGTCGTCGTCGTCGTGTTTGTATGTGTGATTTGAAATAATATTCGGTATTTATTCCTTTCCTTAGTTAAAATGAAAATAGGAATAATTTTGTAATCAATAGACACAGTACTTTGTGCATTTTCTAAAATTTTAATACGTATTCTCTGATTTTGGTGTATAGCATTGTTTCATATAACCATGTTTTGGTTCTTTATTATACCTATAATACAATGAGTTTTATGCTTTTACAATATAATGGTACATGTCAGGTACAGTACTGCCACCCGTTGTCAGATTTTTTACATTTTTAAAAAGGACATATTATTCTCTTTCTTAAAAAGCTAGGCAAATGTAGACAAAAATCAACAGGAGAAATGTCTCATTTCATAAAAATAAACATATACTTTTAGAAATGATGACTTGGACACATGGAAACATGGCAGTTATACCACACTTGATCCGTTGAACAATGTGGAGAATCATATATGCATCATTTCTCTGAAATTTCATCACCAAACAAAACACAGATTACATGCGGAAGGTCGTTCAAAAAGATAATTTTGTTCTGATTGATAAAAAAATATGTGCAAAAGTCAATTAATTATTCTGATTTGTCAGGTTTAAAACAAAAATTTCAATTACCGAGGAAGAAAAAAAACCTGTTATGCTTCAAAGGAATTGTGATTTGCAGACCCATTATAAACACATCTTAGTTAGTGCTAATTGGGTAGCATATCGAACAACAATGATAACACCCAGACTTCCATTTAACCTTAATATGACTGAAAATTAAAGAAATTCCATTTTAAAGAAGGCCAATAAAGACAAATCTGTGTTCTGATCGGTCAAGTTTCACATTTATTCTCTCAAGAAATTACCAGAAAGGCTTTTTTAAAAGATATAATTCATATATAATTGGTTTTTATAGTTCATAGTAATTTTTATATAAACACAAAAAAGCCTTTTAGGAGCAAACTGAACATTCATTCTTTATAGAAATGAAATGACTCTCGTTATAACACTAGTCTGCTGTCTTATCCAGGAACAATAAAACGGCGGCAATAATTGCCAGGATTGCTGCAATAATAACAAATGCAAAGGCAAAGTGGATGTTTTCCTTAAATTCTTTTTCCGCTTCTCCGCCATAAATACAAACACCTATCAGAATGAATATGGCTGAAATAAAAAGAAATGAGATATTATAGATACGAATAAACAAATGATATACATTGTATAATCAAATTCATAACAGTGTTGACGAGACCATTCGTTGGCGCACTCAATTCTCTAAGTGACTGGGTCAGATCAGGTAACCGTTTTTCTGTTACGCCTACTTAATACGTTGTTTTTACAATAATTTAATTTTGGATGTAACACGTCTTCTGATTGGCTGAAAACGTTTTATCTATCAGCTCATAGACATAATTTTGTCATGTTACCGTGACGTTATCAACGTTTTATCATGATTTACTCCTTAAAAATGAAATTTGGAATTAAATTATAAGGAATGACTGTAATATTTTTTCTGTCTATTCGAAATAACCTAAAAAATGTGGTCCACACTTTTAAATAACCCGCTACGCGGGTTATTCAGTGTGCACCACATTTTTTATGTTAATGCTTCATAGACAGAAAAAATATTACAGTCATTCCTTAAAGGGACATTTAAACATACGGGGTCACCAAAGGTTTCTCAACGCCTGAAAACAAGTAACTTAAAAAAAGAACTACAGGCGTATTGATTTACATTGAATATTTTTACATTCTTCACCGACAATCGATAATCAAAATTATTTATCATACCGCACGTTCTTTAAACATTAAAATAAGTTTTCAATAGCTTCAAAAGTAGTAATGAATGTGTAAGCTATAACCCTTTTCGGACGTAAAAGCGATTTTACAATTGTCGCTTTCTAAAATTTGTACTTGCTATTCGTTTCTTTCAACTTTTATTTGTCTAAAAGTATTTTATTTTTAGAAACGAATGCATGATAAATTTAAATCGTAGTGCAAATAAAAAAAAGAAAAAAATATATTTTCGTACGGTCTTTTTCGTACTTGCAAAATATAGGACAGTAAAAAGCTACATGTATTTGGACCTAGCTTAATACAATTTGCATTTACTTTATGAAATAGGAATCTTTAAATTCAATATCTAAATATAATTAATTGTTGAATAAATTTATTAACTGAAAAGATAGAATTCAAATTAGTTGGTCCAACGTTCTACTGACTGACTCAGCATTCGGACTAGAATAATACATTATAGTTTGATGAATGGGAAACTGGAATCTTTCTACTAAACACTTTACTTAATGAAAACCCATGCTTGGTTGCAGAACCGTATTCCGAATTCATAATTACGCACATACCACTCATTTGTTCTGAGAGTGCGTTTTATAATAATTTAATTTAATTCATTTGGGGCGGGGGGGCATTGGTTCGTTTCTTATGAACATACAGGTACAATATTTTCTTATCAGTGTCGTATTTCTTTTTGTCCCTAATTCTAAATTGATTTTAATTAGTTTTTTTTTTAACTTTTTTTCCTGAATGATTGAGGACCGCTTAAAAAAGTATGTATCCCTCCAAAACATAAATACATTTAATCAGTTCGGGTACACTAACGTTCCCGCTTATATAATTGTTTGGTTGCATAAAAAGCAATATTTATTGACTTAGAGAATTGACCAATCCATTGAATGGGTTGCAATGCATGATGGACTACTACGTACTTTATCGAGAACACGGGTGTTTTTCAGTGACCTGCAACTCATTTTATTCTTTTGTGTCTACGTTTAATAAAGCATACGTTGTATGCTCAGATTAATATAACAAACGGGGAGCTGATGAACTGTAACACCTGATAATTTGTAGTTTACTACGTCAACAAAACCCCGTAACAGTGTTACAACCTATGTATTACAATTAATCTGTTTAGTATGAAGCTTTTAGTTAATGATTTTACTACCAAGATATTGTGAACATATTATTTAATGCATAGATAGATTAAAAAAAATGTAAATACAATTCTTAATTAGATTGTTGTGATTCAACTGCTGCAGTTAACAGGTCGGAACATTTCCAGAGGCGGATTTAAGTAGAGGGAGCCCTCTCCTCCCTTATGGAGCTTCATACATGGTAAATGCATAGACTTTTTACTTGTCCTACTCCTAACGTTGTCTAGTTTGCCCCCCCCCCCCCCCCATCCCTTTTTTTCAAAATACTGGATCTGAATCGGATATGCAATATTTAGCATTCTGATGCTTCCGCCAATTCATGTATCAGTGTTTGTTTAACTAGTAATGCATTTTTTCTGGGCAATTGACCGACCAATCCACCGAATGAGTTGCAATGCATGATGGACTACTATGTGTTTAGAATTGTTTATAACTGCATGACATACAATACAATTTTTAATACGTTGCCGAAAAAAGAATTCATCTTTATACCTTTTCTTCATTTGTGTTTACATTTATAATACAAAATATTTTGTTCTGTGTTCAAATTCACGAATAATTACTTCGTTGCTATATATGTGAAAAATGTGGTTAAATACTCGAACCATAGCCCCTTATACTATTAATATAAACAAAGAAAATTCACAACCACATGTAAGGATGAACACACAGACAGACGTTTACAAATCAGCAGTCAATTGATATAGACACATTTATCAAGTTCTGACCTCAAAAACATGTGCGCTGCCATTAAGGCGTCACGTGGTACGTCAGCCATAACAGTAGTGAAAGATAACGCACGTGCATCAATAACAACATTATCGATCTTTTGTTTACATTTTTATTTTATCCGTTTTTTCTTTAATTAATTAATGGATAGTGGGAAAAAATATAAAAAAGGTGGTGGAAGTTCTTGTGCAGTCAATGGTTGCTCTAATAACCGTCGAAAATTAAATTTATGGAAAGAATCAATGTGTGAAATACACGGACAATTTCACGAAGACTGTGCGTGTTTAACGGGCCAAGTCGACAGCAAGATATTTAGAATAAAAGGATGAGCACCTTTGACAAGAACTTAATGAGTCATGTTCACCATGGTCTTTAGGAATGTTCTCCTTAACGGCTGGTTTGCTGACGAAACTTTTATTAATTGTTGTTCCTTTTAGTTTGGACAAGGGGAGAATGGGAGACTGTTCTACAGCTGTTCTAAGTTCTTGGGAAGAACAATACATTGGTGTGTCACGAACACCTGGAGCATTTACATTGAAATCTTCTAGTAAATTTTCACCCTGCTTTGGTTTTTTGAACACTATGTTTGACAAAGGCCTTGACTCAATGTTTCTCTTGGTACCTCTGTTCCACATGGCATTGTCATCTGTACAGCTAGCACCAGTCATGTTATTCCTGACTGCATGTTCAACCTTCCAAAGCACTGCACCTACATGGCTACAGGATAGCCCTTGTCCTGCCATACAAGTACACCATCCTTGTTCAACGGTTCCGTCCATAGAGCAAATTACATAGGCTTCGTTCACCCTACTTACTGTCTGGGAAGCGCGAACGTCTGCTTTCAAATACATTCTGCCATCCGAGAGAATGTTATGCAAAACTTTGTCAACATTGCCGCTCTGAAAATAGTTGTAGCTTTGGAGACTTTTAAAGTTTTTCATTTCTGCACCATCCACGGCTTTTGACGATATCAAATAATTAAAAATGTCCCCGTACATGATGTTTGGCCACTTTCTCATGTCGTCAATCCACTCCGTTGCGTTATTTAATTCTGAGGGCATTGATCTTTTCATCTGAGTAGTCATAATACAGGTAATAATCCAACAATTTTTACGCACTGATTCGCTTTGTTTACAATTTCTTTCACTAGTGCAATGGCGGACTGCTATCGTGACGCGCAAGCGGTAGTTATCTTATCAAAGGGCGACAATTGAATAAATCCGTCTATAGACAAAGACATAAAAACTCAAAAGACAAATAAGTGAAGCATCCCGGTTCCGAATACGGGAGTCACATGAACTTTTCAGTAATCCAGTAAAATCGGGAAAGCGATTGTCAAATTCCGTAAAATGGACTAATAATAGGGTTTCTTTTTGTTAATTTGTTACTTCTTTTGTTTTTTAATTTATCTATTCATTTCTAATTTCTGTTTTTGCTACTAAAAAACTGTACCAGTTTCCACTTTACATAAAGCATTATACAAATAGAAAAGTATTTTAGTTATTCAGATATACCTTTAGAAATATACTTAGATAGAGACAATTGAATAGTCTAATATGCTTGAATATCCAAAGAAAACTGACTGTACGAGTCTTCTAAATGATTGAACGATTCAAATGATGTGCCATGCGAAAAATAGACATTTGCGGAAACTGTCATACACCTACGATTAGGATTACAATTACATTTAAATCTTGGGTCGTTTCAAAGTGTAAATATAAACCGTCGGTTCAAAACCAAGACTAACTCCTATGATGTTTTTCTATAGTTGAACAACGGGATTTCAAAGAAATATTGATAAAAAATGGCATCTTGGCAGCTTCAGGTGGAATCTGGACAACTCTGACCCAAAGGCAAATCGGACTATGACAACTCGGGCCAATTTAAAGACAACTCGGACCACTTTTATAGACAGCTCGGACCAGTTTGAAAGACAACACGGACCAGTTTGAAACACTTGTCAGACCAGCGGCTCTTCGTGGTTTTTACGTTTAATATGATTTTTGTTTGTTTTGTCTAGATTTTGTTCTTCTCAGTCCCCCCCCCCCCCCCCCCCCCCCCCCAAACTGACCATCTTAGCTTGCTGTGATAACTTGTCAGTTATGACGGCCTAACGAGATCAATTAAGAAAAATAAAACAACAAATATCTTTCAATGCAATGAAAATATAAAGCAGATATATATATTCGTCTTTACATATACGGGCCCGTGTTGTAATAAGTGATCCTAGAAATATTTCAAGATGGTTGAAACGCCTTTTACCGTCAGGCACCAAATGTTAATTTTCGACTATCATTAGCGACAACTTGATTCAATTTATATTGTGGGTTGTCAAATTATCCTTATTTATCAGAAGTCTTAATTATTTAAACTTTACCTTTCTAATTGGAAAACATATACTATGATTCGTCAAAATCAGTTGATTTTTTTATCATGGAGAAATGAACTCTACATGTATATTTCTTTGTGGAGTTTTTGTGAACTTTT